AACGACATAGATACAAGTAATAAAGCAAATATCAACGTATGTAAATTTTAAGCTCAAAACTCGGTAGTACTCAGGAGTTGAGTTAATTTTCAGATGCCTGGAGTGATTATTTAGAGTAGGTATTTTACTAAAATGGTGCCATGCAAGTTAACAGCTGAATGTAAGTATTTCATCCTGATTACCCTGGTTGAAGGATGTGTGGCTAATGCATGCATGGGGTGCCAAGCCTAGACTGGCATAAAGACTCCCTGCTTCACAATAAATTTCATTTATAAAAATATGGGTGAATATCTAACAGCTAAGACAACACAAGGATGGTGTTTTGAGCTGCTAGGTGTCTGCACAGGAGTAATGCAAATTGATTTGTGTTTAGTGCAGGAATTACTTGGCTCTTTTAAATTGTTCTGGAAGACTGAGAACATTACCTTCATCAGCAAGCTTTCTGCACTTGACCAGCCTCCTCCAAATAATCAGTTCCCTTAGTAAATCATTCCTCCTCGTTAAAAGCATTGGCAGAATGAAAGCCAATATGGTTTTGGTTTTCCTCAGTAACTGGATCTTACTAGAAAGCCCTCATGAAAACCATTCTGAAGTCACTCAGCTACTGCAAACAACATCTCTGAGGAATGTTGACTCAGAAGTGATGTGAGATCACTCTGCTACTGAAATGAAAGGTCCTGCCCTTCTTTGTACAAAAAAGAAGATTTTATTTCAGCAGGAAGGGCAAGCTGATCTGACTGCACACAGCCTCTGAATGCCTATTCAGCCTCAAAGAGGTGCTAGGAATGTGCCTTTAGGAAGGGCCCAGGTCACCTTAGTGGGCCCAACATGCCTTAGGAAGGAAATGATATGCACTATCTCTGGTACACTAACAACCTTTTAAGAATATTTTTATCATCTATTGGGTGAATAAACAAAGAGAAGCTTTTATTTCAAAACTATTTTTAAGCCAACACTATGTAAAAGCAATTTAATTTTCTAGGACTATCTCTTTTAAGATGAATTTTTAAAGAACTTCAACCTTATTCTCTTTCTTGCATAGTTGGGTGTGGATGCCTATGGGTTCACAGACCTTGGAAGATAAATGCAAGAAATCTTTTCAGACTGGTAAAACACTTGAGGCTGGATGCTGTGAAATCCTGTTTTGTATTTGGAGTCCTAACTGTCCAACTGCAGGTCAGTCACCATTGCCTATGCAAGGCCATAGGAAATTTGGCATGGAAAAAGTCTCCTTTCACAAGGGGAAACAAAGTGACTTTTGAGTTTTGGGCTGTTGTCTTTGCTCCACACTCATCTCCCAGGAAGCAAAGCCAGCCTTCCCGTTTGTGAGCTCTCTTTTACTTTCCCAGGGTATTCAGTTGGTTGCTTCAGAGAAGTTTTTATTCTTCTAATAACTATTTTCTGTCTGAAATCAATTGCATTTTAGGGAGCAACCTCACTTATGGTTTAATTGTCAAGAATTGAGCGGACCTCTGACAATCTCAAAACATATTTTTCAAGTTTTCAGGTCCATGATTCTACCCTTTTTTTTCCTCTTTTTTTTTTTTTGAGGCTAGACTCCTTCTCTCCCCACACAGTGCATTGGTCACCAGAGAGCCTGGTACAGGAATAATTGTTTTCAATTTTTTGCTGCCTTGCATCTTTCAGCACATTGGGTTATATTTAATTTCCATTTGTAACCCCACTATGGAAGGACAGTAACAGTTTTGTGAAAATTGGTCCTGAAAGTAACAGAAATGTGACAAAAGGAGCAAAAGGAAACCTGGTCTAGATTACATGACTTTGTCTAACTTCACCTCATGCTATTTAATGAAAATACTTTAGGGATATTTAGTGCTGGGGTGCCACAAGTCTGTCCACCCTGCTTTGAATAAGGAAGAATAAGAAATCAGTTTTTCTGACATTAAAACAATGTAGTGGAAGGAACCCCACTGAAAGTGAATGCCTGGGAAGAAGTGCAGTGTGAGCTTTGTGCCCACAGAACTGAGACCAGACTTCCCTCCTGGAGGAGGGACAGAAACTGGGGAAGGTGTTGAAGATAACAGGTTTTGCTTGGCATGGAAACCCCATAATTGTGTTTAAAAATGTTTTAAACCAAAAATCCAAGCATCTTCAACTGCAGATTGAGCCATTATGATGTCAGGAGTACTGTCATCATCCAGCTTTTCTTGGTAATTCTGTCCATTACCTACCTGGCAGGACATGGCCACTGCACTGTTTGGAAATCATGGACATGAAAACACAGCTGGCACGAAGAGATTTTGTAAATGCACAGCTCTAGAAGTCACTTGACAAAACTCAGTAATGAGAATTTCAAATTAAAATAACTGATTAGGAAGTCATCCAGCCCATTGATTTACATTTTTAGCTTGCTCAGTATACAAATAATACTCCAGAGTGGTCTGCTCAGAAAGCAGATGCCAGCTTGGGTCAAGTTTTTTTCTAGAGTAGCATCTGAATAGAGGGGAGGCTTTTTTGCTGAAAATGTCTGTGTGGGGATCTGGCTGCTGGTGGATTAATGCCCATCATCAGAGAGCAGGGAAGCAGCTCCTGGATTTAATGAAGACTTCAATGCTGTTAGCCCAAGGAAATATTGATTAAAGGAAAGCACCTTGGCTTGTGGAGCCTTATTTGCTCTGCCACACATCAGTCACATGCTGTTGGCCTCAAGAAACAGGAATAATTGTGAATTGCTTTACATCAGCCTGTTCTTCCCTCTCCCAGCCCTGCACAGTGGAGGTTATCTGAAGGGCATCTACATTGAAATTGGCTGCAATAAAATTTTTAATACTGAAGTTGCATTAGACTACTCCAATCTCTATTCATGATAGTTACATAAACAAGTGCACAATATTTCAAATTACAAAAGCCATTAGCTTTCAAGAACTAAGTGCCAATGCCATAAATTGGAATTCCGAGTATTTATTTGTTCAGAATAACACTGAAGAACAACAACAAAAAAAAAGTATTTTAGCAACATCTCTATCATAACCAAAGACTCAGAATATTCCTTTTTTCTGTCAAAAACCTCCCATTATTTTACTTCCTGAAGTCATCCAATCTTTACAAATATAGCATTATTTCAAAGAAGATGGAACAAACTTGCTGGCTGCCCCTTTGTGGGGAGGTCACAGAGCACCAAACAAAGGGAAGAAAGAACACTATTAATATCTTCCATTTCTAGTCTCCAGATTTCCTCTTTAAGTACTACAAATACTCTCAGAAAGTTTTGCTTATTTGATCTTATTTTTTTCCCTAGAAACAAGTGATTTTTACTGGCTCAAACTGGCAAACAGCATCACCTACATGAATTTCTCCACCTGTAAAAATAAAAAAGTATAAAAAAAAATCTCTTTAAAAGAGAAATGTATAAATTTCTGGAATGCTTATGTTGTAGCTCATTTTCCAATTACAATTAATTAATTAATAATAATTAAGCAATGAGGCCCTATCTACCTATCTGTTTAAAGACCTTCTACCCTGAGTAGGAGACATCCCCTTGCATTTTGTGCTCCTTGACCTGGGGATGTGCCAGGGAAGTGGAGACTCATGTGTTTGACAGATGGAAAGGTACAAATAACACAAACAAAGGATCAAAAACACGCCCCAAACCCTGATCAAACCTGTTTGAGATTGTTCCTTTTCCTTTTATTGGCTGCCTAGTGTCAAACCCACCTGATGGAGCCAGTAACAAGCATAACAACCACATGAACTGTGAAATAATACTGGGCAATAGAAATACACCATTACCACACCTTTGCAAAACTTATTCAATCAATAAAATATCTGAATAAAAAAATATAGAAATGAAAAAAAATTCATCTGTTACACCCATTTTAATACAAATCTCCAGCTAATTTGGGGATCATTAATTTATCTGAGATAACTCCATAAAAGGGAAACAAAATATTTCTCTAGCGTAAAGAGACCATAATAGTTTTATAGAATCAATCATGTGAACAGGAATATCAGTTAGAAAATGTGAAAATAGTTCATAGGCATTGTGGTTTGTTTCAACAAAAATGTTCTTCAAATACTTGGGTACTAGTACATCCCAAAAAACTGAAACATGGCTCTGCTCCAAGTGAGGGCTGTAGAAATGGAATCCTGCTATTGCAAACATTTCATTACTAGCTCCTCTAGATGAGAGCTTCTCATTTCCCAAAGAAAATATTTTTTTCTTTTAAATGCCAAGCTGAAAATTTACCTTTAAGTACAACAGCCAAACTGATTTTTTCCTTCTCAATCATTATGTTTAAAAATTACAATTATGAAGGTCAAGTTAATCCTGAATGACACCTGCATAACGTGGTCACATCCAATTTGTTTGTCTGTAATCCAGCCCTCATTTCCATTTCAATTCCTAATAATTAGTGGCATATATATCTTCCCTGTACATTGCCAGCTGGGGTTTTCTCTATTCCAGACAGGGTATAGATCCTTACAGCCTCTTTAGAAAATCAAATTGATTCCTACCAGAATGTCTCAGTATCAAGACAGGAATCAGCTTTAAAGATGCTTTTCACTCCCACTGAGGGTGCCTTGGCTCCTACATGCCACAAAAACCAATCCTGAACCTTGAACAAGACAATCTGAACAGCTCCAGCTCACATGGCCGAAATACCTTGCCATGGTAGCTTCAAAAAGGTTCTTTTAAGGAATAGTAGGACAACAGCAAAACAGCATCATTTTTTTTTAAACCTTCCAGAATATTCCCATAAGATAACTTATTAGACTCACAAGATAACTAACTAGAATAGAAATTTGCCTTCTTTTTGTCTGATCTGCTCTTTGCCTAGAGAAGAAGTATGGCATATGTAAGCAGACATGGGATTATCATGCACTTTGTTAGCAGGCTTGGAATGAGGCAGAAGAAATAGCAGCAGTTTTCCACACCAGTACAACAAGCACCCTCCTTTCCTTGCTGAGAGGTAGAGGGAAAACACCAAAGGAAAGAGATTTAAATAAAGAATTAAAATAGAAAAGCTATTCAACCTTACCTTGCCAGCCTGGTTTGCACACAGGTTTGACATTAACTCGTACCAAGACATCTTCTGTCGCACGCTTCTGCCCACAGTCAAAGGCCGTGACCATTATCTCATACTGGTGCTGTTTATCATAGCTCAGTTTCTCGGTGTTCCTGATGTTACCTAGAGGTTCAACACAAGAAAACATTCAGAGATTCATTCTTGGCTGAGCATCCCCAGACTGCAACATTTGGGTCCTGGTTCATCAAGTGCTTTGTGACTTTGAGCTCTCTTGTGACCGTGTTCACAGGGGGCTCAGGTTGAGGGAAGAGATGAGAAGGTTGACTCCATGTTTCAAAAGGCTTGATTTATTATTTTATGATATATATTACATTAAAACTATACTAAAAGAATAGAAGAAAGGATTTCATCAGAAGGCTGGCTAAGAATAGAATAGGAAAGAAGGAATGATAACAAAGGCAGCTGGCTCAGACTCTCTGTCCAAGCCAGCTGACTGTGATTGGCCATTAATTAGAAACAACCCCATGAGCCCAATCCCAGATGTACCTGGTGCATTCCACAGCAGCAGATAACCATTGGTTACATTTTGTTCCTGAGGCCTCTCAGCTTCTCAGGAGGAAAAATCCTAAGGAAAGGATTTTTCATAAAATATGTCTGTGACACTCTCTGAAGCACACAGGACATGCAGAGGCAGGACATTCTGAGGAATGGGAAGGATTTTCTTTCAATCCAGCAGAGAAATAAGATACTTGTAGGAAAATATAAGATGGGAGTGATATAATGTGGGCATGGCTCTGTCAAAAAACATCTGCTCAACAACACTTTCTAAAGTAAGACAGTAAAAGTAATTGCAGTTACATCTTGACACTGGAGCTAGGAGTAGGTGCACCCTCCTTTTCCACATTTGCCATAAAAATACCTGGCTTTAACAGCCACAATCCTGAGATCCACTACTGAACCCAAGTATCTTCCTGTTTTCTCAAAAGCTATTACCCTGTAGGTGAGGGACATTTTAAAAATAGGAAAAGCCCTAGAATCACCTCCTGCATTACAGTGTTTAGCAGTATTTGATAGGGCAGCACAGAGTTATCACATGCAAAATAAAACCCAGCAACAACAGTGTTTATCTGCTGAACCTGACACATATAAAAAGGTAACAAATTACCTGCTTTGGGAACAAAGACATCAGAACTTTCAGAAGGAAAGGGAAAGATCTTTCTCTGAATAGTTCCTGGAGGACTGGGAGAGCACCATGCAAAACTATATGGGTTTTCTATTAACAAGTTGAGTGTTTTAATCCTGTCCATTTCCACTGAAATTTACTTTTTGCACAAGTTGAAACTTCATCCTGTTTAATTAATTTCATGCTTTTGCTCAGGGCTGTTTGTTTTACTATCTCTTTGAATGAGGATTTTTGTTCTAGAATTCAAAGAACAAACTTACTCTGCAGCAGTGCTACACGTAACATCTGCTTGCAAGCAAGGATCAGCAAAATCCAATTGTTTGTGCGAAATTTGAAATGGGCAGCCCCCATATCCTGGGATTTAGTCAGATGCAGTGAACCAGTCCCTACAGGTGCTGGCCAAAGTCTCTTTTGTTAGGCACAAAACATTAGGTTTGGTTTGAGCATTTGGGTTTCATTTTCTTTTTTCTTTTCACTCAAGTGAGTGAGAGACAAGAGAAAGCAGAAGAATGCAGCTTCTTAAAAGATGACTTTCACTAAACTCCATTAATTTGACAAGTGAAGACTTTTAGCTGCTGTCTCTCTACTTCCCACTCCTTATCAGAGTCCACCACTTGGCTTTTTACTACTACTACATTAAAGCCAACTCTAGGGGTTAATTGAAATGGATGCAAAACTTTCCAGGTCAGGGCTGAAGAAAGGCTGTTGTTTGTATTTAACACCACCTTCAGGTTCAGAACCTGTAGTTTAAATAGACCCTTGCATCTGCAGCTATAGGTCAGGCCCAATACCCCATTGCTGGGTCTGAGTCTCTCCTGCTCCCTTTGTGGGCAGGGCACACAGGAGGACAAACCCTTCTCATATTTTAATGTCTTGAAAGGAAAAATGGAATGAGCTGCTGAAGGCTGATTTGGACCCAGGGCAGTGTCCTGCAGACTCTGGGGTTCTCTCTCTGGGGTACCTCATGTTGCCAGCTGTTCTCAGGCCTGCCATGGGCACAGCTCTTTGCACCCCACAAGAACTGAAACAACCACATCAGCTACTGTCAGAACTCAGTGCATCCCTCTGGGTGTCCAGAGCTGCCAGGACCCCTGCCAGGGGCTCAGAGACCCTGGCACACAGCCCAGAACACCTGGGGGTTTGATTATGACCCCTGGAGCAAATTACCAGCTTTGGATGAAGACCTGAAAGCCACAGAAGTTTAAATAGTGTAATAATAAAATTATTACTGGGTGAAGGGGTAGATTTTGGGTTTTTAGAATGGGGGTTTTGGGGACAAGATGGAGGGACTTGGGCATGTCCAGCCTTTCTTCTTCTTCACCTCCATCTTCTGCTGTGATGGTGGCACTTTTGGATTGGTCTAGAGTAGAAGCTCACTGTCTAACACAGGTGATAGGTATAGGAAAGTAATTGTAAACATGTTATCAGTAGTTTGTAGTATCAAGAGATAACACCGCCCCGGGGGCGGGCAGAGCGCCGCTGTCTGTCCTGCTGAGCGCACCTCGGCTGGACAGGAGAAAAATTTTTATAGATAAGATACAACAAACAACTCTGAGACTGAGAACTGAAGAACTCTGGCTCATTCTTCGAATGTTTAGGCTGAAACAGAGACTTTGCACAGGGTGTCTTGGGGCTGCAATAAACTGCAGAACTCCCAAGAAACGACTTCATTGGGTTTTGAGTTAGTGATTGACAAAACAATCTAATCACCCATTTTACTACCTTGAGTTGCCTAATTAGTGGCTGCCTAAGAGGATTTAATGAAAAACTGCCACTGTATGTATATACTTAATTACTGACTTTATACCTGCTCAGTTCTTCTGTCCTTTCTCCATTATATTATTTCACACATGAATCTTTATATTTTCCTATTTGGTTCTTCTTGGTATTACTTTAGTTTGTGATTAGCAAAGATAATTCTCAAGAAACCAAAACTGTCCAAATTTTCATTAGCAGACTGCAAAAATTTGTGTGGCACATGAACTGTCCTACAGGATTTATAAATCATTACAACATATTTACATTTCATTAAATCTATCTTCCAAGATCTGTATTTCATTATGGCCATTTCAGATTTGGACTACAAAGATTCTGACTCTTAGGTGTTGTTCTGGAAGGTCATTTGGATGACTTGCAGATGTTACCCAATAGTTTATTGATTTCCTAATATTTTTTTTTCTTACCTCTGATGCTTTATGATTCTTCGGGTTTTTATAATTTAATCAATACAATTAAAAAGCTGACACAGAAGTAAAGCACTATAAACACAGACTAAGTAAAGTTTTAGAGATGAAAGTTTCTGTTTACATCTCACCCACAGACAAAAAATTAATTAATAACATTAAAAAAATTTTAATGGAGAAGTACATTTCTACACAATTCAAAATTAGGTCATACATTTTTTTATTCAGTTTTCCTAAATCTCTGCCTTTCCCTGGAAATACCCAGAGCTATAACCAGTTTTCAAACATCAAAAAGCAGATCAGTGACTAGAGGAATATAAAAAGACCTTCCTGAGGACACAGGAGGACATTTACACCTCTGTTTCTTCAAGGTCAGTTTTGGGTATAGGTGGATATAAACATCCCTCTTTTATGGCTCTTCCACCTTACTTTGGAGCAGACACAAGAACGGGGAAAAACTTGACTGATTTACTATGGCAATTCCCTCCTAAATTCCACAGTTACTAAATCAATTGATCTTCTTGTCAAAAAGGTTCATTTTTAAATGACAATGGAAATAATCTGTCATTTAATAAATCTATAAATATCAAATGCAGATGCTCAGCTATAAAGTTTGGCTTTACTTTTCTGGCAACATGAAGTGTGCACAGCTCCTGCTGCAGCCCTGGGTGCTGTAAAGGGGGATCTTGTGAGGTCCTGTTCTGCCTAGGATTTGTAACCTGATAAAATCTGTATGGACTGGACAGGTCCCTGTCTCATCTCCACACTGAACAGTCTGAACACGCATTTGGGAAGGGCTCCCCAGAGCTAGGTGGCAAATAAGAACCATCCCCATTTTTGAGGTGAGACTAGGTCAGAGCTGGGACAGAATTTGTATTTATACCTGAGTTCCCAGATCATCTGACCACAATACCTAACAAATAAAGCACAAGAGATGTGAATAAAAATGGGTTTTGCTGCCATTCTGATAGATCTGTGCATTGTGGTTTAATTTTTCTGTCACCTGAAAAGAGCCTACACAATATTGCTGCAGTAACTGACTTGATTTGGATTCTCTGCTGAGGATAAAATGAGATTAATCTGTATGCAATACTACTTTAAAACATATTACACCTTATACCTTTAATCACAGTTCTTTGCTCAGCAAAGCACAGATTTGTCCTCTGCCTTTACATGCCTGTGCTTTATGACTCAGAGTTCATTGCCCTCTGAGTTGGGCTCATCATACACAAGACTGAATTTTACTAGTGCTATAGTTTCAGAACACAGAGTAATTTATCCACAAGGAAATCACATACCAAGGGCCAGAGTTCCCCAAGATAACTGAGAAGTTTTATATTACCTTCCCAAAGTGCCCAAGCTGCCAGGACCTGCAGGAAATACCCTCAGGCTGATGCTGCTTCCTGTGCCCACTCACTCCTGCCTCCCATGGAGTGGGGATGAGGCAGCCTGTGCACCAACACCTGAGCCTGCAGGGCTCCCTCTGCCTCTCTACAAACCTTCCCCAATGTGTAATTCAGTTTTTCAAGCCCACAAAAACGCTCCATGCATGGATCTAGGGACAAGAAGTAAGTTTTACCTAACAAGACACTGACCTGCCAAAAGAAAAAGAGCTGATGATTATATAGCTTCATGTTTTTACAGACCTACATTTAGGGTTAGTTTCCTATGTTGGTCATGAAAAAAGTCCACCATCTGGGGCAGAAAGTGGCATGTTTTCCTCACAATTCACCCCCACCTCCATCTTTTGGGGCCCCTTGCAATATTTAGATTTGATTTTAAGGTATTTACTTATCCTCCTTCTGAGCAATGAAGCTCCACATGTAGGTGACTGAAAAGCATAAAAAAATCATAACCTGCAGGAGACCTAAGAACCCAGATTTGTATTTCACAATGGCTAAAAAAAACCCCTGTTAACAAAATCCTAATTAGCACAGTATTACCAGACAGTCCCAGGCATCTCATACTTCTATTTTAACCACCTGACTGGGAACAAAAATGGGCATGTTTCCATAGAATTTGCACCACAGAATGTCTCTCTATGGCAGCTGATAGAAACTTTCTCAGCAGTGAAATGTGTTGGAACTAAGCAACATATTTTTGTCACAAAATAAAAGTATAGTCATCTATTCTGACTTTGTCTCTAATCCCAATGGGTTTAAGCAATTACCATTATCTTAAAAAATTGCAAATTAGACTGCAATTACTGTTGGTTGTGGCAGCACTGTTCTTTTAGTGAACAAATAGATCAAAAATATTAATTGAACTCATGACCAAGAAACTGCAAGTATTGCAACCTTATACCAATTATTCACTGCAGGCTTTGAAGTCACATTTGAATCAATGATTTTTCTCATTGCCTTTACTGAAAAGCAGGTCCCAGGCACATCAGGACAAAGATGTAACCAAGGACTCCTGACATGTCCTATGCTTTTGATCATATCTCTGACTGTAAAAAGACATGAGCACTCCTGAAGCAGCTGCTCTGTGTGATAGGAGCTGAAAAGGCATGAGTAGTAGAAATGCCTACTCTGTATCACACCAATTTCAGGGTATTCTCTGTCCCTTATATCTGCCACAAACCCCACAGGAAACTTTGAGCCAACGTGTGACTCCCCCAAGTACCCATCCTTCACACAGACATGTCACGTGGAGCCTTGGAAAAATCTGGATTCAGAGATAGAGAACTTTCTTTTATGACAACATGGGAAATCTCACAGTTAGAAAAAAAGCCATGGAGAGGAAAATCTTCTAGGGAATTGCTTCCAAATATGTCCTTCCAAATGCCCAGTTGCTGTAAAAAATCCTTCATGCAGTTCTCTGGATTCTCAAGAATCCTCAGGGTTACTGTGCCAGCTGCCCTCATTTACTCAAACACAAACATATTCCTCATGATGGCACTTCCCATACCATACACTTGCTTCCCAGTGTGTGATAACAGGATGGATTTTCCCCCAATGTCAGTAAAATTTATTGATGTAACAGGTTATTATCTTCTGGTGCTCATCTGTGCATTGTGCAAGAACTGAACAAATCTAGATGAATAAATTTTGAATAGGGTAAAGAGTTTTTATAAAACACCCCAACATGAAAATGACTGCTCAGAGAAAACAGCAGCTCCATGCATGCTTTCAATTTACAATTTGGCCAAAAATCAGATTTAACTTCCAAACTGTACTCTCCTCCAACAAACATGGATTAAATGTTTCTGGTAGGAGAGATAAATCAGAGCATTGCTGGGTATGCACACAGGGTGTTGCTTCAGGGGAAGCTATTCTGTATAATCTCAAGCAAGCAGAGAATGGGAGGAAGGACCTTTCCACACTTTTTATGCAACTCCATCATCATTCCCAAACTCAGTTCCATGTTCTTTGCTGATCCAGGAAGCTGACCTACAAGGCCACTAAGATCAAAAGCTGCTGTATACAGAAAACTTAATATGGTTTATTATTTTCACTAAAATATAAAATATTTACTTTTGAAAAACAACTAAAACAAACCAACAAAAACTTAAGAAATGGTACTTATTCTCTGTTGTTGCTCTATTTCTAGAGCCCCACACTGTTGTATTGTTGTTCTTTTATTTCTAGAGTCCCATGCTGTTGTTATCAGATTTCTAAAGTCCCATACCTCCTCAGTGTGTTCCCATGGCTGCAGATCTTCACAGCACAGACTCTTTCTTCTGCATGCTGCTCTTTCTCACTTCAGGGCTCCTCCAAGGCTCTCCCTGCCTGGCTAACCCACCCCCTTTTATCCCAGTTATCTTCATTGGTCACAGCTGCAGCCCAATTAAGGACATCGCAGCTGCAGCTCATCAAGGACAACCAGGGCAAAGCCTCTATACAGATATTCAAGTACAATACTTCTATTTTGCTAGGACTCAAAGGCCACCTCTATAATTCTCCAAAGTACATTCTCTTCCATGCTGCAGAATATTGGATCCACTTCAGGAAGCACCACAGCTGGGCAGGTCTGTGGACCCATGATCCTAAAAGCTTTAACAATCAATAAACATATGCAGAATATTGCTATATTCGGGTTCTGATTCAGGAGATTTAGGGGAATAGGACTGGCTGTAATCCAGTAAATAACCCCTGCATTGGGAAATACATGCTGCCTTGGGGAATGCCATCACTTGGATGGGAAACAGCATCTGAGACAATCAGGAGAATGGACCAGGTGACCAAGAATCATGCTGCTCACCTAAATCTGGTGGTTTAATTTCCACAGGAGGTTAATGCATGACTTTCTCTCCCAGCAGTACACAAAAGGGATGGAATGGCTCAGTGTGAGGATTCTCTGCTCTCAGAGATGAGAACAGGATTTCTCTCTGGAGTTCCCTCTCCAGCCAGGTGATCAGCTCGTGCCCCCAGCACTGGCAGCCCTGCAGACAGCCCTGCTGTGGCCACACTCACCGTTCCTGTCGATGGCAAAGGGAACATCCGTGGTGACAATCTCGTAGTTGCAGATCTGGCTGTACTGGGGGGAGCAGTCCTCATCCGTGGCTTCCACCTGCAGGATGCTGTCATAGATCTTCCCCTCTGTCACTGAGGCCTTGTACATGCTCTCCTTGAATGCTGGGGAGAACTCATTGACATCCTTTACCTGGATATGGACTACTGCCCTAAAACAGGCACAGAAAATATCAAAGAGGAAAGTTAATTTATTGTGACGCCTCACTAACAGTTTATTTTCAAAACACTTGAAAAGACTAACAAAGCATATCTAGAAAACTATGTAAACCCCAATTAAAATGAGATATTAGAATTTTTATGTTTCATTTGCCCAATTTAGTATCTTAAGTGGCACTAGGTAAATGTCCATTGCCATGTAGGGAGAGAGTTTTATGGTGTTCACTATTAAAATCTGGCCCCAAAAATGAACCCTAGCAGAAAGCCAATGATATTATTACACAGTAAAATAAGACACAGTAGTCTTCTGTACCCACTACCTAAAAATGAGCAGTTTACAAGCATTCTTCCATATTCAGTAAGTTCACCTTCTGCTGCTGACAATTATCTAATCCTTCAAGTAGTTACAACACTGCACATGTATTTAGTGAGTAAACCCCAGAGGCCTTGCTTTGGAAGGCTTTGCTCTCTGGTTTGAGAGGCAGGGTGACAGAGGGACACAAAAGGGATGTTCTGGAGCAACAGCAGAGCTGCAATAAAGGCTGGGACCCCAGGCAGCGTGGCTGAGCGTGTGCTACGAGACAAGATCTGGTGACTGTGGGCCAGACTTCATTAGTCAAGATTAGACCAAAATTTTCCACAACTGGATTTCTACCAGATTGTTACTGATGTGAGAGGGGGAAACATAATAAAATTTGATATTGTGAAGCAAAACCTTTTTCTGTGATTTGATGGTTATCTGCTATTACAGGCTTCCTCCTAACTCTGTATTCTTTTGAAATATCCTGAAAACTTCAGCTTGCATTACAGACCTAATTAAACTTTTAATTGTTGTATGTCCTGGATGAGCAAAAGGAAGAATGATTACTATAAATCATTTATTATAATGGCTCTCAGCAAAATGAACTATTTGTACAGCACTTATACATCTACGTGAGTTAAATTCATCTTCAATGACAAATGATCTGGAGCTTCGTTTCAGGAATTCAAAGGGGAAAAAAGCCACTGTGCCACCTAAGCTTATTCAGGGAATCGGCTCCACAGTAAAAAGTGCCACCTACTGACCTTCAATACACTCCACTTCAGAGGACTTCACTTTCTCTGAGACTTGTTGGACAAAAGCTGAGGTCAGACACCATTCAAATGTGACACTGCTCAGCTTATGGCATAGATACACTAAAAAAAGGGGATGACTCCTCTTTTTCTTACCATTTGAAATGAGATGAACAGAGAGAAAACCTATTTAGAAATTGCAAATATCAGTTGAAAGCCAGTTTCTATGACCTGGATGTATTCAACATGAAAGCACGAATGGAAAATATAAACCAAATCTGAGATGCATTTATCCACTTGAATGGGGATCTTGTCCAAAGCTTTAACTGAAGCAAACAAAAAGAAATGTATTTTCTACTAGGACAAAGCAATGAAAAAATGGGTGGAATATTTCAACTATGATTTATCTTTACTTGCTTTCTACCTGAAACAACATAGACTGTGGAGTAAATGTATGCCAAAGCAAAAGAATATTTTTTTCTCATTTTCACTCACTTGTGAGATTTCTTCCAGTTGGTTCCACCTGGCCCTGACCCACAGTCATAGGCCTGGATGATGAATGTGTATTCCTTCTGCAGCTCACAGTCAATGGGACTCTTTGCTCGAAGCCGACCTTCTCCAGATGTCTTGTTCAGCACAATGGCCTCAAAGGGCATCTCTTGCCCATGGATTTTAAAAGCACAAATTTCACCTGTGAGGAACAGCACAAAACAATCATAACTGGGGGCAGGGGGGTGGGTCAAAGTCTTATGCACTGGAGAGACACGTGCAAAGTTCATTTGTATTTCACCTGCTTTTCCAGAGGAGGAAATACAGACTGAGGCACCAGGTCATTGTGTATCCAAAAGGGCCATTAAGCAGGTGTTGTGCAGTGGGATGTGCTGAGTGCAGCTCTAGGCACACTCCTCCCTCTTCCTCTGTCAGTACTAAATGGTTTCTGAAAGCCCCAGAGGCCATTCCATATGGTACCAACAGCAACGGTGAGCTAAATTATATTAGAGCTAAATTAGGAGACTGTATTTATTTAAAGGAAATAACAAAAAGAAAAATAGATAATACTTCAGAGGTGGTCCTTTTTTAACTGCTGTCACTCCTTGAGCCACTTGAGCTGCCAAGGTGGTGGTAGCTGTGCAGATTCTTGCAGTTTAGTTTCCCAACAGTGGAAAAACTAATGGTGCAGAACATGGGCACATTCAAAATACATCCTGCTTTATTTACAGACATACATCAGCTTTGGATCAGAAGCAGTTGAAGGCACACCAAAAAGTGTCCCTTTTGGACATCTCAGTTACCCACCCACATTCTCACTCTCATACATGAGAGCCTTCTTGGCAGCAGCTCACTCTGCCTCCAAACTCTTTCCTGATACAATAGATCCATAGCATCTCCCAGACAAGTACTAGAGAACAGAACAGATGATCCAGCAAGGACCAATAAAATCGATTTGGTCACAAAAGACAGCATAAAGGATATTGTGAGAATATGAGACTGGAAAGGGAAAAAAGACCCAATTTCTGGTGTTCCTTTTTTTATCCTTCATAATGATAGCAAGGATATGCACACAGAGCTAATTTTATTTTATTTTTAGTTCAGTCTCTATATCCTGCTCCTATGCAAGACACTCCAGAATCCAACTTTAAAAATGAAATATTTATATAAAGATCAATATGACTTAAATATTTTTATGACACATTAAACACATGCTCTTTTATGAGCAAGTCAGTCTCAGGACATGCATTATAGATTCCAAGCCATCTCCCACTCACATAATCCTTTTCCATTTATTTCCAATTTACAGTTGCAGCCTTTTGAAAATCTCCTTGCCAATCATATCCGAGCCAAGTGCCAAATTCTAAATTAATTCTGAATCTATGACCTCTAATTCAGGCTAGATTCCTGTTGCTCTATTACAATATATTGTTTATTTTTGCAAAACAGAACAGACGGTGACTTTTACAAAGTGCTGAAGTTCATAATTCCTATTATGTGTGAAAAATTGAAAATGGCAAGGGCGTGTGTGCAGGGAGGGTGGGGATTAGGTATGGAGGTATAAACACAGAATTCTAGAATATTTCCTCAACTATCATCGCACTGGCTTCCCTTTATGACCACAGGAGCTGAGGCTTTGCTCAGCTACATCCACTGACATTTAGGCAGACGAATCCCACACTACACAATTGCAATCAATCCTGTGAATGCCTTTAAAGGACCAGCACACAGTTGTTTTGGTAATTATGAGGTGCTGAAAACATACACTAAGCAGTGCTTGCACATTTTCCTGCTGTCCCCTCTCCCTCCAGGGGTGTGAAAGGGCTGTGGAGTTTCCCTGGACAAAGCTGTGCTCTTGTTCAGGCTCTCTGCTCTTCACTCTCAGTGAGCTCAAATATTCAGGCTACAGAAGAAGCAATGGACTTTAGCCTGAGAAGCAGATTTTCAACAGGACTAACACCTTGCACATCCATAAAAGCAGGCTGCACAGTGATAATGAACTGTGCACAGGGGCCAAAGCACAAGATGAAGAGAAGGCTGAAGGGAAGCAGCCTGTTCAGCTTTTATCACAGGCACTGATCACTGAGTTTGTATCCCACTGCTGTCACACACAACCTTTGAAAAAGATGATCTGCATTTCCTTGTGACTTCAAAACAAAACATTCATCTAAAATGATATTGTGGATTTCAGCTTTGTTTTCATTGGAAACAAAATAAACCAGTGCAAACATGGGAAATCTAATGGCAAATACTGTTCGTTGTGTTCTATAAAGACTGGCCTTCATAGCTCCCTAATAAAGTCTTGTTCAGATGCACAATCCATCACCAAAAATCCTAACTTCAGTGGTTTGTCTTTATTATTTTATTGATCCACTGTTTGATTGCAAACAAGACAGCATTTGCAGACATCCAAGCTACAGTTCTTAAAAAGCAGAAATAGTTGGGGGGAAAAAAGGTCTCTCAGCCCTAATCTAAATATTAATAATTTTTCCCTCCCCAAAGGCAGTGCCTAATGCAAAGCAATCATAGAAGCAGTACATGTTCCAATTAGTTCTCATCAAATATTTTAGAAGTCTCCATATCCTGCTCCTATGCAAGATACTCCAGCTTTAAATATGACTCTAATTTTGCCTCCATATTCCCATTTGCCAAAAATAAAACAATGACAGCTGCCTGGAAATGATGAGATATTTGTAAACACACTGCAAGAAATCCAACATGCACTTCCAGAATGTGGCTACAGAAACCTGCTTATTTGAAAACAACTGGAAATGTTGTTAAAAATTGGGTAAGATTTTTTTTCAAAGGAAGGGCTTTACTGCTGTTTCCAAAGAAATGAACTAACACTGTCAAACAATTTAAATGTACAGGATCATGACTTTTTAAAAAGATGTCTTAATGGCTGTATTGCAAATGGAAATCATAACAGAGTTGTAAGAGCTGTAACAAAGCAGAATGTTAAGTAAGGTCCACTGCCAGACACAAAGACATTGACAGATATATAGAAATACTCTTATTAAGCATTACAAACAGTGCATTTAAAATGAAACAGATACTATTTCTCATTCTTAAATAGAGCTGCAGGGCTTTATTTTAAGCCAGCTGAGCTAACCCCAGACTGTCAGAGATCAGACAGCTACAGAAGCTGAGCTGGGCAGCATCACAGACCTTTTGGCCCTGGTACAGTGAAAGCCAAGGGAGAGATAAACTCGAGGCAGGAGCAGAAGTGAAGACATCATGTATGGTCACTCTGACACTGACCACTCTGGTGAGGGGAGATGCAAAAAGGACTTGATGGCAAAAGAGATAACAAAGGACATTACTAGCACAAGAAGAATAATCAGAAGATTGTGTTTCTAAAGGGGACAGATGTGTCACAGACATCTTTTATGAAAAATCCTTTCCTTAGGATTTTTTCTCCTGAGAAGCTGAGAGGCCTCAGGAACAAAATGTACCCAATGGTTATCTGCTGCTGTGGAATGCAACAGGTGCATCTGGGATTGGGCTCATGTGGTTGTTTCTTATTAATGGCCAATCACAGTCAGCTGGCTTGGACAGAGAGTCTGAGACACAAGCTTTTGTTATCATTCTTTCTTTCCTATTCTATTCTTAGCCAGCCTTCTGATGAAATCCTTTCTTCTATTCTTTTAGTATAGTTCTAATGTATATCAAAAAATAATAAATCAGCCTTCTGTAACATGGAGTCAGATCCTCATCTCTTCCCTCATCCTAAGACCCCTGTGAACACAGTCACAGACCAGGACAAAGGGGTCAAAATGGAAAATTTTGTATGAATGTAGTAAATTCTGGTAAACTGTGTAATAAATGGCTTTGCTTTGCTGGCATAAATGGAGTCCATGTCAGTCAATCCTTGCACCAGACACACATGATGCCAATGGGAACTGTGCCAAGCTTATCTTACTTACTGGGGTCTTTTAGGTAAGTGTGAGTTTGTAAATCACAAAAGAATTGTGAAAATTGTGAAAAAAGGGAGGCAGGATTTCTCTCCTACTCAGACTCACCACTGAAGCTGCAGGACCTTTGCACCCCTCTGCAAGGCTGAAATAACAAGAGTGCAAACTGGGACATTGTTTTTCTCCCAAGAGATAACCCAGCAAAATTCTGTGCTTTGTTCTTCATTTCATTTGAATGGGTTTGTGAGCAGGTGGATATAGGATTTTGTGATCATAGAAATGGTGGTAGCACTGAATAACCAAAAAAAAAAAAGGATAAGCTGGTGACACCGTGTAAAGGTGGAAGCACATTCATGAAATCCTACAGCAATTGCCAAGGCAGAGGGAAAATTTCTCTTCTCCCAGGCCAGGAGGCACACTCTGAGGGCTTCCAGTTGCTTCCTATAAAACCTTCTGGTTACAGGCCTGAACTCTGCTGAGAGTTTCACTTTAATACATGCTTTAACTAAACTCTGGGCATGTTTTTTCTTCAAATTTTTCAGACTATCATTAGCCATAAGCACCTATTATTTTGAAGTTTACATTCTTTTAAGTTTTAAAGCTGTGGTAGATCCCTATGTTACTACTCCAGGGGTAATAAGGATATTATTTCCTCTGTAAAAATTATAATAGCCTGAAAAAAAGCTACTGATAGCTCATAATTACTGTAACATAACCAACAAATTTATCCACTGTTTGGAAATTGATAAAGACAATGTTTCACATTCAGTCACATTTGCATGCAAGATTTAGTGATTATAAGCCTTGATCAATAAAATTGTATTACAAATGACTGTCTTTTATATGAAACACCAGATTCATGCTTCTTCCAGTAAAATAATAATTCCCAATGTTACTCCTTTAATAACTACACAGCCTCATTCACTTGAAATCAATTTCAGAAGTCATTAAGAAACACTGAGGATTATTTGACTTTTCACAGCTCCCCTTCTACTTCCTCAGCCTTCACTACACCAAGAATACTGAAGACTTCAGATGGAAAGCTGGGATCTCTGACATTCCATCACTGGCATCAATAGTTAAGAAAGGCACAAGTTAGGTGTGAATCAGGAATCAGCAAATGCTGTTTCACTGTGCTGGCTGAGGTTCAGCAAGGCCAAGCTGGGCCACCATGAGCCTGCAGTGCTCCAGGCTGGGGCACAGTGCCTGACAATGCCTGACAGCACCTGTGGGTGCTGGTCAACAGTGGCTGGACACGAGCCAGGTGTGCCCAGGTGGCCCAAAAAGC